CTATCGCCGGCACATATTTTTGACTCCCTTTCTTTGAATCGTTTTTCAACACTCTCAACACACCCAGCAGACAACCATCACCACAACTGCCCATCATGGAAGACGGAAAATATGGTAAGCATCTTTGCCAGCACACGCACATCATCTTCTACGACGGCCTCTACCGCTCCTTCGTCCGACCTCGTGCTCTAACAAAATACAGTCGACGGCAGCATCTTCATCTACGCCCCTAATAAGGGTGCCCCGGTGTTCTTCGCTGTGGGCTTTCTCGCTTCGTTGGTGTTCCACATCTGGCAGTGCATCCATTACAAGAGCTGGCGCCTGACCGGCCTCTACGTCTTCTCCAACACGCTCTTTACGGCCGGCTACATAGTCCGCGAAGTCGGCGCCTTCAACTACGGGAATGTCGACGTCTACATTGCCTCCACGGTGCTCATCTACGCCGCTCCGCCGTTGTTCGAGCTCGCCAACTACGTTGTCCTCGGCCGCATCCTCTACTACGTGCCCCATCTCTCGCCCATCCACCCGGGCCGCGTCCTGTCCACCTTTGCTGCCATCTCGTCTGTCGTCGAGGCCCTCAACGCCAACGGCGCCGCCTACAGCGCCAACAGCACCCTGCCCAAGAGCAAGCAGGACATGGGCCACGCCCTGCTCAAGGCCTCGCTCATCCTGCAGCTCGTCGTCGTCGGCCTGTTCCTTCTGCTGGCCATTGTCTACCACCGCCGCACCCTCAAGAACAACATCCACAACAAGAATCTCACCAACGCCCTCACCACGCTCTATATCAGCACCTCGCTTCTCCTCATTCGCACCATCTACCGCGTCGTCGAGTACTTTAGCATCGACACGCTGCACTTTACCGACGGCGTCGACCCCAGCACCTTCAGCCCCATCCTGCGCTACGAGTGGTTCTTTTACGTCTTTGAGGCTTCGCTGATGTTCACAAACACCTGGCTCATCAATTTCCGCCACCCGCGCCGCTACTTGCCCAAGTCCACCAAGACGTACCTGTCCCGCGACGGCGTCACCGAAATCACAGGCCCCGGCTACAAGGAGGAACGCAACTTCTTGATGACCATCATCGACCCCTTTGACGTGATTGGCCTGCTCCAGGGCCGTGACAAGAAGACGGCCTTTTGGGAGCAGCAGGAGCAGCAGCTGCAACAACAACAACAACAACAACAACGACAACAGCCGCACTCCTCGCACGGCGACAAGATCCCGCTAGCTGCCAACGGCCGCCACGGTCCCAAGCCGAGCAACGAAGAGGATCTGGAGGCCGGTCTGTGAAAGCACACAAATCGAGCGAGCGCCTAGCAGGCAAGCTGGCGAGCAATGTGTGTGCGGAGAGGTGAATGGTCTTGTTTTGGGGGAGAGAGAGAGAAGGAGGAAGAGAGAAGAGAGAGTGTGCAAGACTGTCCTTGTCACTGAAGTTGTATACCCCGTCGAATCGTTTCGTTCACTATTTACATCGCCATCTAGGTGCTGTGGTTGCAGCTGGTCTTTCGTTATCTTGCCTTTTGGGGTGGAGCTTACTGCTGTCCATTCCTTGTCCAATTCGCTCTTTCGTTTTGATTTCCTTGCCTTGTACAAATAGATCATTAGAACGACCACTTAATATTGAATTTGTATTCCGTGTCTCTCACCTACTCAACGTCGTACTGTTCCTTATTCAGCCTCGCAGTTGTGGTCCAGGCTTTTTACACGAGGCTGAGAGCGGCTGTTCCCGATTACACGATGCCAGGCGGCCGTAACGCGAGCAATGCGACGGATCCATCATCCTTCTTCGGGACCGTCTATTTACAGCATGCGCAGGAATTCCGCGTCTATTAGCTGCTCGCGGCGACCCCGAACCGTATTCCCACGCTTTGCCTCGCTTTGCCTCGCTTTGCGCATCCCTCCAAATTCCCAACGGGCGTTCTTCCTTTGGTGCTTCCTTTCCATATTCCAGGCTCCTTCTACAATACTGTGGCTTTGCCGTCCCTGAGGCTCCTTCCTCCGGGGCGCGCGTGGGTTCGTCGTTGGTTTTGAGCTCTGACGCCGTCGGCGCGGAAGTCAAGGGCTGCGTCGCTCTTGCCTTCACATTTGGTAAACACGACAGTTCTTGATTGATTTGTGTCATCTTTCCACGGCACGCATAGACAATGACACAGCAGCGTCGTGCCTTCCGTCTACACTACCTCCTACGCTTGGAAAGTGCGCAGACGCGACTTCCCCGACAGTTGCGTTCTTGCCTGTAAAAATTCGAGCCAAGAAGCCCCTTTTGTTGTGATTGCTTTCCATCTTGAGTCTTGGCCATTCATAAGGTATCTAACCTTTCTTCCTCAATTGCAATTGCCATGAAAGGCCCTGCGCACCGTCTTCTGCCCGTCAAAGATCGCCGCCAATAACACACAAAAGGCATTTCCAATCCGACACGTCTCAGTGCATCCCCCAAGTGCATACGGAGTATGGGGGTGCATATCTGTGTCTTGTGCGTCTTGTGTCAACTTCGACATGTGCCGTACCGCGACGGACGGAGAAGGTTGCATTGGATTTGAACCGCCGACTCAGAAGTTGGGGTGAACGGCAAGGTCCACAGTGCTTTGTTGTTGGAACCACCGGAAACACGACATGTTTCGTTTCGCGCAGACTCATGGTGGGACATTGCGTCTTGTCGTTGGCCTTTCTGTCAAAGTGGGATTGTGGAGCAGAAGGGCAAAGGGCACCTGGAGAAACATCAAGAGCACTGCCCCAGACGATCTGATGACCCTGGAGGAGAGGACCATCTCCTTCAGTGAGCAGTCCACAGTTCCCACTTGCTGAATCTCCACCATATCACGCCCTTCAAGCCTTATACGAAGTACTTCGTACTTTTTTTTGAGAGCGCCGTTTGCGTGGCGGAGCCTCCTGGACCCACTAAAGTCCACAGCTTGGCCACCGCGAGGCTAACACAATGACAACAAACGCAAGAGAAGTCCAAGACATCATGACACTGTCAATCAATGTGAAGAAAACACCAGTACAACTGGCACACGAGTGCCAAGTACAGCCTGCAAAATTTGAGATGCCAACGTGGGTTTGAAATCTTGAGGCCAAGACAATGCAGAACGCGGGGCGATGGAGAAACAAGAAACGACCTGGCGTGACAAAACGTTAAAGGAGTTTCTTTTATCTAGCGACGTTTTTTCGACGGCAGAGGAGCTTATGGCCACAAAAACCATGCGCGACCTGACGTTTCCAAGCACACTTAAGAAAGGAGAACGTCCTGCGAACACAGTCATCGACATCGCCACGCCGAGTGGACGCGCGCTCTCTTGTCAACATCGCCGGCTGCACATCAGGCCGTGCGGGAACATAACTGTAAGATACAATCCGGATAGTAGCATCTCATTGCAAGCCCATTTTGTGTACTTACAAAAAAATCTATGTGCAGAGAACTACCCATCTGTTATTTCCATCGTCTGTCTGATGGGGCAATTTCGGCTCCCTGTCTCCTCACGAAAAGTGACAATACAGCCAGCGCTTTTCTTCCGTCTGATCCCAGTAACCCCTGTCTGAACCCGCTGGGGTTGCCCACATTCTTAACTGGTCCTAATTTGTTTGCTCCCATTGACAGTGGCTCTGCGCCCTGGTCAGACTATCAACGGCTGCGCCAGAATCGAGACTGAACAGGGCCTTATGCTTCTATTTACGACGCTGGCAACTGGGAGATTGTCCTTCGAGAACAGCTGCGCCCCAGAGAACGCCGGATCTCCCATCGCAAACTACCTTTACCATTCTCGCTCATCTCGCATTCATTCCCACAGCCTTTAGCAGCGCCTTTTGGATACCTCGCGTTGCTCGCTATGCACGGCCAGTCTTCTTGTGGAATCAGAGAGCCTTGTGCCGGTAATAGTGCTGGCCGACCTGCCCCGACCTTGTCATATTGTTTTGCATCCAGTGAGCAACCGGTTCCACGCCCTTTGCGAGAGCCATCGTGCTTTCTGTTTGTTCTATTTGTAGTTTGCAAGCATCGACCAGGGATGGGGCTTGGGGCGCTGCGAAACAAAAAAAAACAATACAACCCTGGCTAGGTGTTTGTCGAGTCGCAACCCCCCTGGTCCCCCTGGTCGCTTTCCACCACACTCGCGACTCTTAAACCCCTCCAGTGCTCTTCGACGGCCTTTCTCGGCCTCTTTGCTTCCTCCTCCGACTCCTTAAGAAGCCCCCCGACATTCGTTTTGACCTTTTGAACTGGACTTGGCAGATGTACGCACGCATTCCTGGCCATATTTCCATTACAGTAATGCGCTGCCAGGAGTCACGAGAAACGTTTCCGTGACCAACCCTTCTATTGTTGGCTCGTTGTTTGAGATTTTTGTTTCCGACCCATTGGCGTCTCTCGATCTTTTGACTTCGATCCCCATCCCTGGCCCACCGGGATTTCCACACAATCCTGGCTTCTCGTCACGACCTGCTTCCTTTTTGAGCCATCGCAACCGCTAAATCTCATTTCATCTCCTCACCACCTCGGCCCCTTAAACCTCGGTCTCTTTTTGCTCTGCCACCTCCCTGTCCCATTTTGCACACGGACAAGTCTACCTCTCGAGGGATTTTTTTCCCTTACTGACTGGTGGCATATCCAATACGAAGACTCGCGGACCAAAGAGGCATATTTTGCCTTCGGTCTTTTTGTGGACTTTTTGATTCTTGGAGCTCTCCTTCACTGGTGAGAGCTACCTGACTTGTACACCAACTCGACCCTCCGTGTTAAATCCCGGCTGAAGGCCATTTTGTCTCCTTGTTGTCCTATTTTTCTTTCTTTTCTTCTCAATTCCTTCGCCTCCTTTCCCCTTTTTTTGGTCTTACTTACGACAATAATCGCTGTGGCAGTGGTTGTAAGATATCTTACTCCTCCTATTGGAGCAGGAAGAGAAGGTTATGCTCATGAGCCACTCCACCGCCTCGATCCCGGCTTACACCGACGACAACTATACCGACAAGTGCATAAAGAAGATCGTTGTCCCCCGATCGCAGCCATGGCACACTGGCGGTCACAACCCGCTGCCATGATGGGCGCCTCCGAGCCCAGCCGTGCGCGTCGCATTTCTCCCGATATGGTGACAGACGCCGGCGACTTGAGCGGCGTTGGCGCGTTTAGAAGCAGTCAGTCGACCCACCGTCCGCAGGTCTACGTACATGTCGAGTTCGGTATCTCTTGGCCTTCGCGCCACGTACCAAACAACCATGTGTTTACATACAAGTCGCGTGGCTTGCGTGACCGGCGTGCTAACTTTCCGCGAGAAGCTCCGGAGCCATCGACACACTATCTGTCCAGCAGTGCTCCACCTGTCTCGCAACCAGGCTACTTTCCGTCCTTTGATGGGTTTGCCACGCCGCAACACCGTGGCCAGCAGAAGCAACGCGAACGGCACGCCGTGTGGGGGTCTCTTGAGTCACAGAGACGACGAGAGCTTCAGCAGTCTCAGAATCGCGCCCGGGAAGAGCCAACATTATTCCCACAGCAGCACCAACACAGCCAACAACGGAGACGGAATCAGTTTCAGCAACAACTGCAATCTCAACCCCTGCCGCAACAGCAATCTCAACTATCACAAACATATCTCTCCACCAGATACCAGAATCGAATGGGCCTTCCCCCTGTCGATGAGGAGACGCGCTCATCGCGATCCTCCAAGGACTCTCGGTCGTCTCATGAGCGCGGACACTCAGCGCCGCCACCGCTGAGCGGTAGCCCCTGGGACATTACGACAGGCGACGCATCGGGTCTACCGTTAAACGCTGGCGGCAGCAGGTACGCCGGCCCGACTACGGTTGGCCCGGCACGTGCCGGTCATCCGCAGATCTGGAAAGCCCTGCCCGAGCTGCCGACTGGCTATCGACTTGGTGAAGGCCTTCCCTGGTCACAAGGCCTGCCGGAGCCGGGCGTGGATCCCGATGACGAGCGGTTGCGCCCGAGGTCACAGCCCGAGGCTGGCGATTCTTCGTCCATCCATCAATCCCTTGACTACTCACCCTTTCGCCCCTTTACCAACCGCCCGACGGTCCTTCCCATACAACCAACGGATTCAGGTGCACAGCGCCAGCTGGACATTGACACCCAGCGAAAGCGCAACCTCGAGTCCCTCTCCAGCGCCATGATGACCATTGACAACGGGTTTGAAAGCCAATGGTGGAACCAGGGTGAGCGCCTGAATACCAACGCACACTCGCCAACCGCCCCGACTCAGTCAGTGTGGCCGTCGGGCATGTCCTCTTCAGCCCTTCCAGTCTCCCTGGTTTTGCCTCCATCCCTCCAGGGCGAATCGGACGACGAAGGACAGTCTACCTCCGCTCCCATGCCGCAGCAGGCCTCTTCTCTTCCATCCTCGCCGTCGTCGCCGCGACGCATCCGCATGCCTTCGCTTGGCTGGGCCATTGCCTCATCGCCAGTGTCTTCAGAACCCACCAGTGGCCCTATATTGCCGTCGCCATCCTCTATTCTGCCGCGTCACCCGCAACGGGTCAGCAGTCTCGGCAACCACCGCACGAGCCAATCCAGCCAGAACGTCGTGTCACCCGTTTCCCAGTTCACAGGTAACGACTTATGGTCGCCTGAAACTCGGAACCGCCAGCTTAGCCGATCTATGACGACCCGCTCCGATGAACTGTTCTTCCCGACTGGTCGATACGCTTGAGTGCCAAATGTACATGTCGTTTTCATTTTCTCTATATTTTCCAATCTGTTGGTTGATTTTCTGGCGTCCTTTACTCGGCTAGTGGGCGGAACATTTTGTGTTTTCCTTTTTGTCATATTGTTTTGTGCGGACGATACATTCCCGCCAGAAGATTTAGCATAGCGCCTTGCTTGAATTCCATTTCATTTGTATCAAGGAAAAAGACGTACAACCTAAAAAATTCAGCCTTATGTTACACGTCATTCATATGTTGTTGTATCACTCTTTGCATGGCTTCTGATCTCCAACTGTATCAAATGAAACAAGCCCTTTATATGTTTATTTTATTGCATCATACAAACGTGTCGTATGCTTTATGTTTGTACAATACCGCGGAAGGCGAAGAGGCCATCGCCAAGGAAAAACCGATGAATCAAAAAGAAATAAAACGCCTCCTATCATGTTCCTTGGAGACGACGCCGCAGAAATATGCCAAAAAACGGAGAAAAAAGAAACAAAGAGAAAGAAAAGTAACCAAAACCTGGGCTCGCCATGGAGCACTGCCTGCACTGCCCAAAGTAGGCGACATCGAATGTGCTTTTGATATGCCACCAAAAAAAGAAAACTGTCATGGTATCTTCTCATACAAAAGAGAGGTAATAGGAAAAAAAAAGAGATATGAAAGACTATCAACATGAAGTGAAGAGAAAGTGGAAAGACAAACAAATGCAAGAAAATACCAATTAAGTGGCCGTTTCTTGCTCTTCTCGAATGGACGTCATCTCCGTTCCAGTAGACGGAGGGACTCCAGACTGCTGGAAGAAGCCGCCTTGCTGCAAATCGGCGTTGTCATGAGAAGATGAGCCCAGGCTAGCGGTGTCACCGACGCCGCCAAGGGTATTTCTGTTGTCGCCGCCGCTGTTGTTTCCATTGTTCCAGCCGGTGTTTCCAGCAGTGGCCGGGGAATGGTGGGAGCTAGTCGATTCAGCACCACTGGTATGCTGCACGTCGTGCGGAAATTCGCGTTGCAATGGAGAAGCGTGGATGGGCGACGCAGATTTCTTGCTGGTAGCGTCCATGGCGGCACTGCCCGCAATGGTGGTGCCTCCCCCGCCACGGGACGAGTTCCGAGGCGAGACGCGGCCGACCTGCTTGGCCCAGCGTAGACCACAGCTGTTGCACAGGTCACGCTGGCCACTGGGGCCTCGTCGCCATTCGGGAGTGTTTCGCGTATGGCAGTTGGCGCAGTCGCGTGGCACGTTGCCAACACCCTTGCGCCGCTTGCGCTTCTTGCGACTTGCCAGCAGCTGGCCAAGTTCCTCCGCCAGTAGCCGGTTTGCCTTTTCCATTTGCCGCAGCTCGTACTGCCAGCTTGTACAGCGCGTGGTCTTGAGCTCGTCAAAGATGTTGTCATCTGCAGCCAGGATCGAATCTTGCGAGCCGAGAGGTATCGCGCCCCCGCCAGCCGCGGACATATACCCACCCGTCTGCGTGTCTGGTTCGGCCAACTGCCCGATTGCACCCGCTCGACTAATATCGTCGGCTTCTGTTGTTGCGACTCCCGAGGCGCTCGAGGTTCCAGCGTTGGAGTGAAGGCTGTTGCGCGAAGACGACGATTTGAGGAGTCTGGTTTGGCCAAGAATGAACGTCGGTTTCTGGCCTCTCTCGGCATCACCGGGATACAGAATAGTTGAGGATTGAAGAACTTGTCCACGGCGATGTTGTACCTCGTGGCGACAAGACGCAATGACACCGCGCCGGACTTTATCGACCGACCGGTTGAACCCAACGCGGGATTCTTTCCGCATGAGATCTTGCATACTCGTACCGATGAGAGTATCTGGTTGGAGGTCGAGCAAAGAGCGGACGTTGGACGAGACATGCAGGATCATGCCAGACGTCGACATTTTGGTCCAGATTTCGCTGTCGCCGATGCCGCCGTTGATGTCGACATCGCTACGGCGCAGTGCAAAAGCAGGGCGTTTCCGACCAATCAGTACAATGCACTTGCGGCCTTTCCCCTGCTCTACAAGCAGCGAACCGTGACTCTCGAACCATGTGTAACCGCTGCGCTTGCGACGTATCCGGTAGACAAAGTTGATCGGCTGGCCAGCCTGGGTGTCGCGCATTTCGCGTGTGACGGGCACGATGTCAGACGGGTGGCAGATGGACGACAGCGAGTTGCCCAACAGATCGGACGAGTCATACTCCAGCACGTCTTTGCAAGAAGGTGACACGTACAGAAAGACACCTTTTAGGGAAAGAACGTGGATCACATCGTCAACGTTCTCGAGGAGCATCTTGTCCCAGGACTGGCGGTAAAGGTCAGACGTGGCCGAGCTCACAATGTCGCTTCCAATGCCCTTGCTATTCATTAAACCGCTGTTGCCCAACTGCTGCAGGAGTGCAGAAACGTCGTCGACACTGAGCGTGCGTCCGTAGTTGGTGTTCCATTGACTGGTCTTGGGCGGGTCCCATATGTACTGAGGGATGCTGGTTCTGTGCTTATAGTCGATGCGCATCGAATCAGTGGAGTTGCCCGAGATGGCGTCTGGCGACTCAACGAGGTCGATTTGAAGCCCAATAAAGTATCTAAACCCATCCTTGTAGTCATCCCACGGAATAGGAATCATAGTCAAGAGGTTAAGGAACGGCTTGCCTCCCTTCCGGTAGTTGATCAGGCTTTGTTGCACCTCACGACCGGCATTCAGTTTCTCCTTGATCGTAAAAACAGCTTTGTTGTCGGTGAACTCACGGCGCGAGCCTGCTTCTACCCTTCCATCGGGCGCCTGCAAAAAGCGGCAGTTCTGGCCGAGAATCTCGTGGCTACTGTATCCAGTGAGATGCTGGAAGTTGTCGGACATGTAGATGATGGGGCAGTCATTCAATGTCGCATCGCAAACAACAAAGGCGCAAGAGAGATCGACGGGACCGATGGAGATTTCCGGGTTGGGGCGCGATGATACGTAATAGAGAGCACGGATCATGTCGAAACCACTGGAAGAGTAGTAGTTCTTTATTGTTTTGGAGGTTATTGGGGGCGGCTCGGGGCCAGCAGCCATGGTGGTTATGCTTGTCGTAGACGGCCTTTTTGACTGAGGCCTATTAGACGAAATTTGTGCAGGGGTGGGTGCGGACGACGCAGATAGGGAAGCAGACGATGTGCGGGGTATAGATCCTGGTGATGTACCGCTGCTGTTGGGATGGGAAAGCCGGCGGCCAGATGTACCGGGTGGCATATCAATTTGAGAAGGCGTCGATCCGATGGACTGTACAAACCCGCTCTGATACTGGACTGGCGGTTGCTGCTTTTGCTGCTGTTGCTGCTGTTGCTGCTGTTGCTGCTGTTGTTGCTGCTCTTGCAAAGACGAAATTTGAGATCTCGCTAATGAACCCGACGAGGAGGGAATGGCATGCGAGGGTTGGGGCGCGGTCACGAAGAGATCTAATGGAGGTGGCTGGTGGGGCTGCTGCTGCTGCTGCTGTTGTTGTTGGTTTTGCGGTGCTGCTGGGCCGCCAGCCATTAAAGACATACCATTGCTCATGTCCATGTCCATAGGAGAAGCAAAGGAGATTGCCGTTAATGAATCGCCATGTCCCGAAGAGAAATCCAGAGATGATACTGGTGCAGCACCGGACTCGGCGCCGGCGGTTGAGAAAAAGGCAAGGGAAGCAGTATCAAGAGATGAGGGATGGTTATGACCCATTTGGGACATGTCTAAGCCTGGGTAGGACATCATGCTATCGATCATGTCCTGAGGCAGAGAGGAAAAGTTGTGGAGGTCCGAGTTGGATGAGGCGAGGGTTCCAGAGGCCGATGAAAAGCCGGTGGCAGCTTGTGACGCAGTCGTGGGTTGCTGCTGCTCTGCGGTTTCCAGTGGCTGGCCGGCGCTCTGTCCCGGCATTGTTGACATGGGCAACCCAACTGTGTTGTCTGACGTCCCAAACGAGAAGTTCTTGAATGCATTTTCGACGGCACTGTGGATCTCCCCGGTTGAGCTAACGCCACCGGTGCCGGCCGTGAAATCAAGCATCGGCATACCCCCGTCTGCTCCAAGAGCGCGGAAGGCCGCAGCAGACATGGACATGCGAGACGGCCCTGTTGAGTGATGGGAGAACCCTTGCAGTGTATGAGGCAAGCTATGCCGGCGACCAACGGCGTTTGGGTGCTGGGAGTCTTGGCCGAACATGTTTGCGTCGAAAGAGCCGTCGTCAATGTTCATCATGCTCGAGTCGTTGTTGTGAACGAGCGGACTGGGACCAGATGACATGTTTGGTAGATTCTGCTGTTCATGCTGTTCATGCTGTTCATGCTGTTGTCGTTGTTGTTGTTGTTGCTGCTGTTGTTGTTGTTGTTGTTGTTGTTGTTGTTGTTGTTGTTGTTGCTGCTGCTGCTGTTGCTGTTGCTGCCGCTGTTGATGTTGTTGATGTTCCTGTTGCTGTTGGATACCGTCCATGCCGAGCGGCAGTTGGCCATTATAATAGCCGTTCATTGCGACTAACGGAGGTCAACGTGGGTGGTGGCGTGGATATGTTTCGTTTCGAAAAATCATGTGAAGAGATCGATGTGCGGTCTGCCGGCGCAACGAACAAGAAAATTATCTCTTCAAAACAGGAAATAACCTCCGGTGAGGATGTGGAAGAGGCACGATCAAGATAAAGGCCAAGGAGAGACCCGTCTTTTCTGCTTCGGCGGTAAAGGTGTGTGGTGGTACGAACTGAAAAAGAAAACGATAGGTCTCGCCTCATTCAGCTTGTCATAGAATGTAATGTTGATGTAGACTTTGGTACCGTATGCATGCAAACGCTGGGGAGCAAGAGGTCGTCTTCTCGCCGGTCCCAGAATTGGCGAAGCGGGAGGAGATGCAGAAGTTTATGGCGCTCCCAATTCACAAGCTTGGGTGCGCTGCAGCCTTGTTCTTGTCAGACAGCTGAGACCAAAAGACGTAGGGTTTGAGTACCCAAAGGTAGACAGCCGTGGAAAAGAAGGGAAGAGTTGTACGTCAAAGAAGCAGGAAGAAAGGGAAACGAGCGGCCAGATACTATCCGGACTACAGCAGAATCCGGCCAGGACAGATTCTGGGCCACATTCGTTATCGTGCTATGGCCGGCTTCCGACGCAATGCTGCAGTCTGGTGCGCAGCTTTTGTACCCGTGTAACGAGACTTGGGCGAGGGATCATGCAGTGTGCGGGTGGAGTGAATAGCTCGGGGTCCTGTAGCTACTTACGGCATGCAGCTTCGCCGAGAGCAATACACGATGTGTCGTTTGCAATTCGTCGTTCGTCGTAGGAGAGCGCCCATGGGACGACACTCAGGGATGCCATGCACAGACTGTCTGTTTCTTCCCTATGTTTTCGAGATTGCGGCCAAACCGCACGGGGCCGGGCCGGGAAAAGGCCCAAGACTCGGTGATGCACAGCAAGCGATCCTGCGAAAATGTCCGGCGCTCGGTCGTCTGGAAAGGGCGCAGTACCTGTGCAAACTCGCGAACATGAAGGGCCAGGGACAACAGACGTTTTCTCGGACACCGAGACGAACGCGACGCGGAGCGACGAGAGACAACTGCAGCTATTCGGGGGCCTTGATATGCGACGGCACCACAGTTGCGTGGCTGTCGTAGGCGGCGTACCGCTATGGTTGTCGATACCGTCGTTGTCGTTGTGGCGAGTTGAGGTTGCGGTTTGAGCTTTGCAGATGTCGCCGACTGAGAGATGTGGCGGTGCGGAAATGTTTGGCGGTGGTGGTGCTCAAAGAGGAGTTCTGGCTTGAGCGGCAGGCTAGCTCCGGGTCTGTTGGCGGAAAAAAGAAGGGGTGGGACAGGGCAGGGAGGGGGACAGGAGTCAGCTCCAGGAGCGTGAGTGGTCGATCCGCGGCGATCACGTCTTGCGCATGCCGAGTGGAATTCAAAACGCAGCGGTTGCAATAGTGGGAAAGAGCGTTCAGTACGAAACGGGTGCAAAGCCATAATTTCCCAGTTTGGAAATACAGTGAATTCGTGAGGGCCCACAGTAACTGGCAGAGACAGGAAGGGCAGAGCTCCAAAGGGTCTTCTCTCATCTGCCAGCAGACTCCCACGGACCTCTTGTTTTATTTTTATTTTTATTTTTTAATTTTTTTATTATTTTGTATTTTAACAGGAGGCCGCAATCGTTGTGGTGGCCGAGTACTGCACATGGGGAACTCTAGCACATGCTTGTCGTAGTGCCATCCGGGAAACCCTGAGTTGGTCCTTCCCCCCCAGTTATCCATAACGCCGTGTCGTACTTGCAGTTTTCGCCTCCAGAACCTGGGCTGCGCAAGGCAAGAGCGACCCTGGAAATTGGCAGCAGCGCTGCATTCTATCGACTACTACCTGCCACTCTCACTCTCGCGCTTGGCAGGATGGAAGGGTGAAGGGCGGGTAGGGCAAGCGAACATGTAAAAGGCAGTTGAAAAGGCCTCGAGGCCCTCCAGGGAGCCTGGCTCCCTGGCTAATCAAAATTGAGACGCCAAGCCTAACAGACTTGGTGCAGCAGTCGGTGGAGGAGTCTCCATTTTATTTTGGTTCCGGCGAGCCTTGTCTCGTCAGCTATCACAATTCTGGGCCGAAGGCTGGCCAGCTCCCAGAAAGAAACAAAGCTCCTCCAGACGCCGGCAGGCCGGTAACTTCTTGCGACAGCACTAAATCCCAAAAGATGCCACGGGATGCCTCAAAGATATGGGACTCGTGCGGTGAGTACGTGACATTTTGGCAGATCCCTATCGGGCCACAATGATCGGAGCATTTGCACCGTTCCGAATCGACCTTTCCCGAGACTGTTACTGTTGTCACCTCTTATCAACTGTTATTTATCCATTTATTCTCAGTTATTTGTTCCCGGGCCAGACGCTGGACTCCTCCGCCGTAGGGCCAGGGCCAGGGCCTCCGGGGGGCGACTTGTACGACTGGTGCAGGCCCTGAATTGCTGCTAAACCTTGTTTCGCTGTGTGGAAAACCTTGTTTCTCGAAGCTTTTTGAAAGTTTCCATGCTTTCAGGGCCTGCAAATGTCAGTGCGGCAAATGCTGCAAAGGGAAATTAAGGCCGTCAGGGTGAAGCGTGCGGCTAATGCTTGGCCAGACCCGAGATGGAAGGAGGGGCGCTGTTTGTTCCATTGGTAATTGCGACATAGCCGTGCCTGGGATTTTGTACGGTCGCTCCATCCTGCCGCGTGGTTTTGCAATGTGGGTTTGTGAGGTGGATAATGTGTGTTCGGAAAGTACTTTCTAATTTTTGCACAACATATGACAGATCGATTCGATATTGACAATTCCCCATCTGCGACGGAAGCACGACGTAGAGAACCCAATGTGGCGGGACACACTCGACTGGCTGCCTCCGTCATTACGTCGTAGTGCAAGATGCACCACCGCTTGTTCGCGTGGCAAATATTTATATGGGGCATTGAAAGTATCGTGGGAGCCTGGCACGCACCTTACGTGACCTTCTTTTCATTTTTGGGATAATATTCTTCGTTTGTTTCTTTACGCATGCTTCCCCTTTGCATTGCCTCTTCTTATCGTCGTAGCGAGTATCCAGTACGTACAATGCCCTCTCGATGAGTGTCGCTGGTGAACGTGTTTCGTCCCTCATGTTCAACCAGTGTCCGACTTCACCTTTTATTAAAAAAAACATATCCAAGATCAAGTAAACAAAACGCAAGACTAAAGAGAAACAAAGAGCAATCCGCACCAAAACATTCAGGCAATCAGAAAAGTACGATAAAAAATTATACCTCGCAAGCAACCAACCCCTATGTGAAAAGCTCTACCTAAAACGGAGACAGAAACCAAAAAGTGTGTGTGAGAGAGAGAGAGAGACAAAAGAAAATCAAGCGAACAGAAAAACAGTTGACAAACGAGGGTGCAAGAGGCGGAGGTGTATCTATGTATCGTCATGTTATATGAGAATGTGCCGTTGAGCAGCCGGTATCATCGATCCCAGCATTGTCCGCCGCGTGGATCATGTGATCATGTGATGATTTACGTGAAGTAAGCGCTGATGGTCTGCTGCAGCTCCTGGGGAAACTGCTGCAACAGCGGTGTCGCGTTGAGGCCAGACTCGGCCAGCATCACCTTCGTCGCCTCCACCACGTGCTTGGCCGTCTCGCCCCGAAGCACATCTGCGCCAAGGCCCTGGGCAATGAACGTGAATACCTTATCAGTCTGTGACATGACAGCCGGGTGACGCCTGGGAAGATAATGGTTAGTTCTGTTTTGGTTTTTTTGGTTTCTCCCATACACTCAAACACTCAAACACTCAAACATTCAAACACTCGAACAACAAACGTACTTGGTAATCAATTCCGTCAAGTAGGCATAGGCATAAGGAGCTGCCTCCTCGTCGTTCACGACAGGGAGCGTGCCGACCCACTGTGTAACAACGGCATCGACATTCTGGACAGCGCTGGCGTTGAAGTGCAGGATCTTGGCAATAGCTGCACACGCATTTTCTGTTGCGTAGACGTTGTCCTCGTTCCGCGCGTCGGGGACCACCGTGGCCTGGAACAGGAACGGCACACAGCCGCCCAGGAACGGCGCCCAAGCCTCGCCACCACGGTGGGCTGCGACGCCAATACCGTATGAAGCCGCCTGCCGGATCGCAGGCGCAGGGTCCTTGCAGCCGTCAAGGAGGGGCTGCGTGATGTAGTTCGCATAGTGGATGCTGTTGGCGCCACAGTACTCAATAACGTCGTCCATAATGCACAGGCCCCACTGGCGCTGGCTCGGGTCCTCCGACTTCAGGAACGTCTCGTACGCCGACATCAGCCGCTCCCATGGCCGCAGGAAGTCGGAGCCGTGGTACTTGAACACAACGTGGAATGCCTTGCTCATGTCCGAGAGCAGCGTCTGGTCGTCCTCGAGGGCGAGTAGGAGATCCTCGTCCTCGTCCTCGGCGTCCTCGGCCGTCGCGTTCCGCTTGTCCTCTTCACGCTGCACAACCCGATCACGGTAGTCTTCCAGGGTCGACTGAACAGAGTCAATAAACTTGTTCATGTGGTCTGCCGTCAGACACGCCCGGCCAAGCACCTCGACCGACTCATAGAAGCACTGGTACATCTCGGCCAGGGTGTCAATAGCGGGCTCGGCCGTGAGAACCTCGAGAAGCTTGTCCACCGTGCTGTTCCACAAGGCCGTCATCTCGTTTGATTGGGAGCCGAACGCCTTCTTGTATGAGTTCAGCAGCTGCGGCACGAGGCGAGCAGACACAAACCGCACAGGGTCGTGGAAGAAGAAGGCCAGGCCCGGGAGGGCAATCTCCTTCATAATCTCCGCGACGTAGGGCGCAAAGGCGGCCTCCAGGACCTGCGCGTACACAACAAGAAGCTCGATGGCCATGTGCTTGTCGTCCATGCTGCTGGTCTTGATACCAATCATCTTGCCCTTGAGCGGCAGCAACTCCCAGCCGTCCTCCTGCTGCAGCTGGTCAGCCTGCTCCTCGTCATCAAGCAGCTGGATATCGGCCTTGGCACTGGCAAGCACCAGCAGCGGCGGCATAACGGTCGGTAGGAACGGCATGAAATCGGAGCCCATGACCCGGCACATGCGGCCCCACGAGTGCATCAGGTACTGGCCCTGCGGATCGTCGGCATCCGTCAAGCCGTTCTGGATGTTGGCGAGAAGCTGCACCAGCTCCAGGGCGTCGTTGCCGAGGCGCTCCTTGCCGACGGCAAGAGCGATCAGAGTAGAGCACTCCATGGCCTTGGCGCGCAGCAACCGGTATTCCTTCTCGGTTTCCCGGCGCAGAACATTGACCAGAAGCGGCATGAGGGTGTCATAGTACTTGCCAAAGGCCTGCTCGGCAGCGTCGGCAATTGTCGCAATGGTAGAGAGGGCTTGTTCTTGGACGTAGCGCTTGTCGCTCTGCAGCAGGTTGAACAAATGACTCAGGAGGTCGTCCAGATATGGCTCCAGAACGCTCTTCTCAGCCTCTTCGCAGAAGTTGACCAGGGCAGCGGCGGCATGCGACTTCACGCGAGCCTCGGGTGAGTCAAGCACGGGAATAATCGTCTTGAGGACGGCGTCGTAGTACTCCCGCTGCATGGTGGGTGCAAAGTCGGTGCTCATCTGGCCCAGGGCGTTGCAGCCGGCCCAGCGAACTCGCGGGTGGGGGTCCTTGAGGGCAGGCACGACCAGGTTGAGAACTTGCTGCAGCTCGCCGAGCATCAGATCGCGGCAGCCCTCGGAGATGGCGGAAATGGCCATGAGCGCAGCATGGCGATCACGCCACGCCGTGGAGCCGATCATGCGCGGCAGCCAGCTGAACGTTGGCGCCAGAATCACAGCACCGCCAAGCTTGTTCGCGAGACGGTCCATGCACTGCTCACCAGCCACGTGGTTGGAGTCGTTCTCGTCCTGGTCGAGATCGTCGGCGGCGAGCCACTCGGCGGCATCATCGTCGTCCTCGCCCAGGTCGGTCATGAGGCTCAGGCACTGCGTAATCATATCACTCGTGTAAGTTTCGTCCTTCTTGCACATCGACGGCGAATAATCGGCGAATGTGGCCATCAGCTCGAGCGCGTTCTGGCGACAGCCATCGGTGAACTCCTTGTCCTGGATAACAGAGACGCTGAACTTGACCAGGACGTTGAAAACAGGGCGGAACATCTTGGGAGAGATGCCCGCGAGATCGATCAGGGCGATGAGGGCGTTGCCGAGGTCGTCGGAGTCATGCGACTCCTTGATCGGAGGAAGGATGTTAAGCATCTCCGGAAGGAGGCCGAAGAACTTGGGCTGGCTCTTCTTCTTCAAGCCACGGAAGAAAGACGCAAACGCCTCCATAGCTGCAATACGGACCTATGTCGATCGTTAGCCACTTTCTTCTGCCTGTAGTTTCCAGCTAAAATAAAGTCTTCGTATATAGACTACCGCGTACCGAGACAGATTCGTCCTTGAATCCACGGGAGAAGGCTTCGGCGACGGCATCCTCGTGGGTCTTCTCGATAACGCCCGGCGTTGACGTGAAGACGCGGTAGGCGGTTTCGCGCTTTCCAGAGTCGGGAGCCATGCTCATCTGGAAGAGGATCTGCAGAAGCTCAGTCCATGGCTGGTCTGTGATTTTGGATAATTAGCACAATTGCAACGCGTTCAGAGACGGTTACTACAAATGCACGGGTAGACGAACCATTTTCTGTGTACTGTCTCGCGACCTCGGCAATGGCATCACTGATCTTGTTTCGGACGCTGCGGTCGGTCTCGGCAGCCAAAACCTCAAGCAGCTTCTGGCGAATGACGTCCGACTGTGCAGTCGGCAGGCCAATAAAGATCTCGACGGTATCGCCCTGCTCGTTCTTGCGCGACTTGGACGCGATTCTCCGGAAAATGACGGCGGCGAAAGAGCGGAACTATTACAGGGACGCAATTAGCAATCTGTGAAAGGGCAAACATCGGCGGCCACATCCACCGGCAATTGGAACGCGTCTAAGTTCCGAGGCTGGCCAGGATCAGCAACGACGGGCCAAAGCCAACCCCCTGCATGGCGGGCAGAGATCGGTGCCGGGCCATGCCCAATTCCCAAACGAGCGGACATACACTATTCGATGCCTGACTGCCAACCTGCTCAGCAAGGCCCATCAGCAGCACGTCTGGGCGCGGGACAGTCCAATTGTTCTGGAGGTGGTCTTCGGCCTGTGACCGAACAGTGTTGTCGGCCGACTGCAGCGCCTGCAGGAGCTGCGAGAGCTCAAGAACCAGGTCCGGCGGAAGAAGAGACATCGTGAGACGCGACAGGGGAGGGTCGTGGATCGAGGGGGAGCGTAGGGCGCAAACGCAGAGACAGGCAGCGGTGCCCGTTGGCGATGTGATGCTGGCCTTCGATCCGCCTTAAGTAAAGGAGGGAGGAGTACGAGGGGTCAAACACGGCTGTTCGCCCTCTTATCTATCGGATACCCAAAATTTGGGGCCGTGAATCGCGTCGGAGACTGTACTTGGCCGGCTGGGTGGGATCGCGGCTCGGACGAAGCAAATATGACGAAGTGTGTGGTTGCGATATTGCTGTACGTGAGGGTTGGAAGTCGAGCAGCAAAAAAAAAAAATACTGGAGGGGGAAACACGGACACAAAAATTGTAGCGCGAAGAGCGGGGCAGGAGAGAGCGACTCGACAGGCTCGACAGGGCAGGAAGGCGCTATTCGGGAGGTGGCGGCGGGACAATCAAAATAAAAATCCAGTCATGCTAAAATTGATAGGCGACAGAGCCAAAAGCAACGCGAAAACAACAGGCAAGAAGCGCGATTCGTATTAATTACTTACCATATTTCACCAAACAAGAACGCGAATGTCTGGGCAGATATGGGTCCAAACAGGCCTTCCTAACAAGGGCATCACAAACACAGACACGGGCACTTCGTCTATGATGACCGAAAGACCATCCTAATAATATTATAGCAGCCCTTCTGCTGCCGGGTTTTGAGTTTAACGATCGCGTTGGGCGATAAGATAATAAAACAGCAATGACATTTTCTGCGGGGGTGCGGCCCATTTCGAAGGTATTTTGTTTGGACGACCGCGCGCGGAAGACGTGGCTGCCTTTCGTCCTTTCAGAGTGCATGCACAAGCCCCTGCCAGAAACCTCGAAAGCCAGTGCGATATGGAGTAAGATTTGTGACAGGGCATTTATGGGGGGCCCAGTCTGGTTCCCCTCCTTTGTTCGTCACTGCCGTCGTCGCTCGGTTTTCAGCAGCACATTGCCAGTTGTTTTAGGGATGTCAAATGGAAGTCACCTGGGTCTGGCCAGGCAGTGATTGACAGGCCCAGACGGTACAGCAAGGTAAGGAGGAATACTACATCACCAAGAGCAGTGAATTGCACCGTTTGATCGTTGGGCTGGCAGTAATCTGACAATGTACATTGACACGTTTCTCTTCGGCAAAGTAGACGGACGATAGTGAATGTTGGTTGGCCGTCGTACTCTCATAGCATATTGATAGTCTTTGACTCTTCAATGCTATGTCCACGCCGTTTGTGGCCGTCTCCACAGTGTATTGCTCCAAGACATGCGAGAGACCATTGTCGCTGTGGTGTCCGTCACGCACGTTCATCTATTGCCTTTGGATGCCGTTGCCAAATCGGTTCTTTCCATGGACTAGGCACCTGACGTCGTTGGTCGATATGGTGGCTTTTGCTAGCCAATGAGCGTCACTGTTCTACCCCGCGCCCAAGAGGCAATCCAAACTGTGCGGTGGGCTGATACGTCGTACATTGCGAACTATGTTGGTGGCTCTTGCTCTTTCTTGCCTCTGTTGTTTCTTCTTTGTTGAAACAAATTGCATCGATTACTTCTGCACTTTTGACAGCCAATTGAAGAATTCTCGTCCCCTCCACTCTCAATGTGCATTGTCAACGGTGGTACCATTTCCTCATCGTTTTGCGTCGCCCGAACCGTTCTTCGAGCAAGCCTTATTCCCCTCACTACTGCATAGCTGCTAGCTCTCCGCTAGCATCGCGTCACTGCCGACCTCTTCCAGCTCCTCTTTGTCGCTACTGAGTTCTTTACTTCACGAGATATTTCTACCCTTTTTCTTTTACTTTTCTTTTTTTCTTTCTTTTTTTGCGTTTTCTGGTGGACATATCAACCCGGACGAAATAAAAAGCAAGCATCCCATATCCATCGCTCGGTCACTAGGAGGCCCAGGCAGCGATCCTACTGATCCGTAACCCACCACTCGTTGTCACACGCAAGCTACGTTCAGCACTGGACGTATCCAAGAACCAAACAGCTTTGGAAATGGAATCGTCTACCCCTCCGACCGCCGAGCGCGGGGCGGGTGGTGCCGCCACTGGCAGCGGTAGCAGCTCTACCTCAAGCTTGAACGTGGGCGGCGCCACCCAGACTTCCTCTGGGTCGACTGCTGGTGCCGTTCCGGAACGGTCTCCATCCCGCTCAAGCCTGCGGCACTCCCACTCTCACTCTCACTCCTCATCGTCTCACCGGCAGAGCTTCGCCGAGAATCTGCGCAACCCGCCGCCGTCTCCTCGTTCTCTTCGGCAACCCTCTTTCGCAACACAGGTCCACGGCCTGCTCAACCACCCGCCCCCCCAAAGGCAGCCAAACCCACGCTTTGCCGGACGTGACTGGCACGACATCTCCCTCGGCGAGCTGGTATCAGAGGAAGATATCCGATGGGCGACCCTTGATACGAGCGTAGAAGACTGCACAAAGGTAAGCTTGGCCCAACGCGGCAGACCTGGACTATTGGCATTGGGATGGACTTTTCCTTAACGATACAGACTCTTCTCAGGAACAGCAGCACCGCGGGTGCCGTGCTCGTTCGCAATGGACTGTCCGACAAAATGGCCGTTTCGACATTTGATTACAACGACCTCAATGCATACCTCCTGGTTGTTATCGGAATGGCCAACCCCGACCCGGAGCAAGTTATCGTCTACCAGAGCATCGCGCAGCGAGCACAAGACCGTGTTGCCATTCCCATCCGTGATGTTCTTCCTATTTGCCACAAAGAACCATTGGCAACCCTGTCCTACAATGACGATCTTCTCGCCGCAATCGAAGTCTTTGGCAGCGGCGCCCGTCGTGTCATTGTCACCAACGCCAACGCAACGGAAGTGGTTGGTGTCTTGAGCCAGCTACAGCTGATCCAGTTCTTCTGGAACGAGGCCGTCAACTTCCCGCAGATTGATCGGCTATATGCGGCCACCCTACGGGACCTACGTATCGGTTCGCAGGAAATTATCGCCATCAAGTAAGTCTTGCTGCTCTGGCCGTGCTTTGCTCTACCAATCCCATCTAACTCGTATTCCCCCCCCTCCCCTGCAGTGCCGATCGGCCCCTCTCGGACGCTCTTACGTTGATGAATAGCGAGGGCTTGACGTCTGTTGCGGTGGTTGACAACGGACTCAATGTTGTGGGCAATATTTCAACGCGAGATGTTCAGCACCTCACGTCTGTGACGAGCTTCCCCCTTCTGCAGTCCTCCTGCATGCATTTCATTTCCGTCATACTCTCGGAACGCGGTGTTGAAGAGGGCCGTGACTCCTTCCCCGTCTTCCATGTCAACCCACACTCAACCCTTGCTCATACCGTGGCAAAATTGGTGGCCACCCGGGCGCACCGGATGTGGGTTGTCGAGTCGCCATCCCCGTCGCCTTCGGCACCCCATACACCACTTCTGTCGCCTGTGCAGACAGCATCGTCCACCGTATCCAGCGCTAGCATTGCTACCCCTTCAGGCTCTGGCCACTCAAGAACTGCAAGCGGCACAGGCATTCCCGGCGGCCCTACTACGGCAAATGGTACGGGCGAGGGCCATTCGCGCCGCGAATCGACTGTACTCACGACGGCTGCAACGACTGTAACTGTTGCGCCGCAGTCGCCCATCCCTCTGCCAGGCGGAAATGGAGGAAATGCCCCCGCATTCGCCTCTGTGCCAGCGTCTTCTCTTCCGGGTGCGCATTTGTCAGGTCGGTTGACTGGCGTTGTCTCTCTCACGGATATTCTCAACCTTTTTGCAAAGACGACCGGTCTCCGTCCTAGTGACCCGGCCGACATCCGGGCTCGGCGGCGACGTAGCAGCAGTATGTTACTACCACCCTTGTAGAGTTGTTTTTTTTTTTTTTCTTTTTTTTCTTGTTGTTCGTCTTCGTCTTTTTTTTTGGCCTCTCTAACCGCGGTTCATGTCACAGGCAGCTCACTGCGCCCTAGCATCGACGGTGCAAGGACGAGTGTGGACTTGAGGCGGTAGACCTGCATTGAGTTCTCGTTTCGATAACAACATCGGCAACAACTTGGTATTGTCTCGCCTGGAAGGATGCGATTTCCAATTGAATTTGAAGCTACAAATTGTCAATCGATCGCATGGCACAGTTGCATAAAGTAAACATTATGTAAGGTGGAAAGACGATGCAATTTTATTTTCCTTATTTCATTAATTTTGTTTGTTATTGTTGACTTGCACTTTGGCAACGCGGCGCATGGGCTTTTCATATGGTAGAAATGATTATCGGAATTTTATATTCGTAACGTCGTAAATGTCTACGGCCACCGATAGCCGGTCGTGGTAGGTGCTTTCTAGACCCTTGTAATAGCACTCAAAATCGCACATCTGCCATACCTTCTGCTGCTCAAACTGTCACTGAAGAGACAATAGCAACGGTGCTCTCCTACATCGCTGCACAGTCGTAATTTGAATTACAGCGTCCAGGAATGAGATGGCGTCACGTTTGTCCCTTGGCAGTGCACGGATATGACTAGCAGTCACTGCTGCCATTCCAGGGCTGCGCAGCCCCGATAAAGACTGCCTCATTTTGTTTTCTATGCTTCCCGCCCAGGCCGAGTTGTTTACCCAATTCATGACGACATGATCGCATCGCCAGTCGTGGTCTGCAGCGCATTCGGAGCCGCAACTTCGGTTTCGCCTGCCGTTGTGCCGGTTGTGCTCACGGATAGCGGTTTTGAGTAGATTTTTGTCTGCGGGCCGTTGTCGGTGTGAAGGCCGATGGCGGCCTCGGCCTCGCGTTGCGTGTAGGCTCCCTCCGCCAGCTGCTTCAGCCGGCGCTTGTGCGGCTTAGCCAGCTGGTGTTTCGAAAGCGCAAAGTCGGACTCAAACCACTTCGCGCAGGCAATGCAATAGTGGCGGCCGAGGCCAGGGAGGTCTTCCGAAGCCTTGGTGGCCTTGTAGCGGTCCAGATGAGCGGGAGACAGGAGATCGTTGGTAATTTCGTCGACGTCCCTAGGCCACAATGTTAGAACAACAAGAGGAGAGGGAGGGGCAGAGGCTTGTTGCATTTCCTACCTTGTCTTCCTCCGCGTCTTTGTAAGGGTTTTCTTGTTGGTAGTTCCCATGTTGTACGATAAGGAAAAGGAGACGTAGATAATCTGCAGGCACAGTGTACGTAAACGGGTTGTGGTCTTGAATGTTGATAGAAGGCTGAGGGGCGTCTTGGATTTTTTTTCTTATCGGATGTTATCGCCAATCTTAAGATCTTATCAGGCCCACAGTTACGTTGTTCGCGAAAACTTTGCCCTGCTCAGTAAGAGCAACTTCAGGGTGAAGACGAACCCCACTACAAAGTACAGTGACCAGTAAACGTGGCGCGAAACAGCTTTACGTCGCCGCTGGAAATTATGAATTCCCACTCACGTGCCACTAAGTTCTCCAAGTTTTGTGCAATACAAAGAACTTGGACGGTGAGCTCCCGGTCGCACCTGCTCGGTCTGCAGGAGACTCATAAGGTAAGCACGAAAGACAGATCAGGGACCTACGGAAAATGAAATTTCTATATTGGGAGCCCCGTTGTCCATCATCGGCCAGGCCGCGATATACAACGCTTCATTCGATGCAACCACAAAATAAACATTTTTCGACCACTGGGCCGTGTTCGGACGATCGGATTCATCGCGGCACCACGTCGTATTTACTCGGAAACCCGTACAGCTGCCGAGACTGCCCAGGCGGTTTACAGCGCGTACCATGCTAAAAATCCACTAAAAGCGTAAAACTGGGTAAAGAAACACACCAAAATGGGCACCAAAAAAATTCTCCACCCAAACCTGGTCTCCAGACCAAACAAAATAGATGTACTCCGTAAAACGAGACTTATCGTGACGTTGACTGGTGAACGCCACATTCTGTGGGGAGAGAGGGGCGTTGGTAAGAGGGACCACTGCGTAAATTCAAAATGTGAACCCCTGTAACTACTGCTACGCCTCTGCTCATCTGCGCCACCTATGGCTGGATCGCGTACGTTCCTATTGATGATGTTGGAAGTCTGCGAAATTTCCTCACCTTAACATTGCGTTTCGGGAGAGGATTGCCGGGATAACTGGCCGTTCTTTCCCCTATTGAGGCATTTTGCTCGGTTGAAAGCTGCAGGAGTCAATTCTCTAACCGATAACAACAGTGTCGGTGGCTGAGGAATATCATGCACTCAAACGATTTGATGCTGGTTCAGTACTGTGCATTTTCAGCAGAACGTTTTGCGGGGTGTCAGAATTGGAAGTGGTGTTTCCCGTCGCGATGTTTTGGCCGGTGTCACGTTTACTCTGTATTTTGGAAACTTTTGTATGTTGTGACTTTGGCCAGGCCTGAGTATGGCTACAGACGCGCTGTTTACAATACTGCTTCTAGAGTATGCGGTCTGGCCTTTGTCGAGCCGCTGTTCTCCACTGTGTTGATCTCGCTCCAGCTGATCGTAAATACTTCGTAAACACGGTAACCGCTCCATTCCCCATGGTTACGTCGCGGACCGAGAACCTCCCCTGGATACTCATGTGTCCGTATCATCAGACTGCAGGAAAATGAAGTGCATTGGCTTCGGAAGTTTTTTTTTTTTTTTTTTTGAAAAAAAAGTCAGGACCCGGCACTGCAACATGTACTCGTCTGCCTTCGTGGTAGCTTTGTGTTGTTCTCAATTTTACGCCCATTGCAACTGCCTCCAACTGCCTCCGACTGCCCTCTTCATTTGACTCCAATTGCCCCTGCAGCTTCCTCGGCCGATTGCTGCTTTGTGAATCGCACAGAGCAAGAGCAACACACAGCGCCGCAGCGATAATAACACAAACCACAATCCACGACGTATGTACGAGCGACATATTGGCAGGTGCGACCGTAATGGCGACCAGGCCAAGCTTGTGATATTCCCACTCAGTGCATGTGGCCCTCCAGTGCCAGCCCCCTGCTCTGCAACATTAATCCAGTTGCCCTGATTCGTCCGGTGGCCCGCCTGGCCTGTTTGTCGTCATAGCCGAGGAGAACGCCAGCGCCCTCGGGAGAGGGGTGGCTCTTCTTCCCCCATACATTGCTCATGATTTTTTTTGTACTTTTTGCCCGCTAGCCAGGAAAAGCCGAGCGGCCGACCTCTGCTGTGTTATCTGCGTGGTTTAGCGCAACACCTGCTAAAACAACTCGTTTTTGTCTCTCTGATCGCCCTGTCCTTTGTCCCACAAGTCCCCGCCAACTCCCGCACTTTCGCTTCCTTTTACCTCCTTTTCTCTTATTTTTCGGCTCTTACACCAATCTTTCTTTCTCGTCTTCCCTTTTCTTCTTTTTCTTCTTTTTCTTTCCTCTCCTGAGCGCATTCTGCCTTTCTTCACTCTCCCCTCTACCCAACTCGTGCTGTATCCTTGACACACCTTATCTCTCTCCTCTATCTTGAGCTTCGTTGCCCACGGATAGAGTCGTGAGTGAGCACTTGTGAGAGTTTGACGACACACTTACACCTACGTCCAGAATGTTGGCCTCTCGCCAGCTCCTGGGCAAGGCCGCCCGGAGCCACGCGGCTGTCGCCGGCTTCGCCATGCGTCGCACCATGGCCACGGTCTCCGACAGCTCGCTCGACCAGAAGGTAAGGCGACTGCGACCGCTATACTGGTACGCTGGTGGTCTTCGTGGACAGTGCACATTGGCTAACCGAAGCTCTTGGTCTCAACATACAGGTCCCCCAGAACATCTGGGAGTCAAACAACTTCATCAACTACAAGAAGATGGCCGAGAATCTGGACATTGTCCGCGCCCGCCTCAACCGTCCTCTAAACTTCGCCGAGAAGATCCTGTACTCTCACTTGGACGACCCGCACGGTCAGGAAATCGAGCGCGGTGTCTCGTACCTGAAGCTGCGCCCCGACCGCGTTGCTTGCCAGGACGCCACTGCCCAGATGGCCATTCTGCAATTCATGTCGGCCGGCATGCCCTCTGTGGCCAACCCTGCGACCGTCCACTGCGACCATCTGATTGAGGCCCAGGTTGGCGGCCCCACGGATCTGGCCCGTGCCGTCGGCATCAACAAGGAGGTCTACGACTTCCTTGCCTCTGCTTGCGCCAAGTACAACATCGGTTTCTGGAAGCCCGGCTCTGGCATTATCCACCAGATCATCCTCGAGAACTACGCCTTCCCCGGTGGTCTGCTTATCGGCACCGACTCGCACACCCCTAACGCCGGCGGTCTCGGCATGTGCGCCATCGGTGTCGGTGGTGCCGATGCCGTCGACGTCATGGCTGGCCTGCCCTGGGAGCTGAAGGCCCCCAAGGTTATCGGCGTTAACCTGACTGGCAAGATGTCTGGCTGGACTTCGCCCAAGGGTAGGTGCAATGTGCCCCCACTTTAAAATTCTCCACTTTTATTTTTCCCCACACAAAACATCACCAAGACGGCTGGACACAATCCGGAGCATTCAGAACAGCCTTGCTAACTCTTGCGAATCCAGACATTATCCTCAAGGTTGCTGGCATCCTCACAGTTAAAGGTGGCACAGGAGCGGTTGTAGAGTACAAAGGCGAGTTACACTTTTTTATTTATATTTTTTCATGGCGAAGTATGCTTGGGAAAGACTCTGGGAGTCCTGAGCTGCGATAAGAAAGTCGCAAGAAAGTCTGCCTCATAGCTGAGGAAAGACTAGAAAGTCCTTTAAACACATCACCCTTGAGTTTTTCTAACTTGCTCTTCCAGGCCCTGGTACCGAAACTTTCAGCTGCACCGGCATGGCGACCATCTGCAACATGGGTGCCGAGATCGGTGCTACCACCTCGCTGTTCCCCTTCAACGACCGCATGTACGACTACCTCTCCGCCACCAAGCGCCAGAGCATTGGTGAATTTGCTCGCGTCTACGGCAACGGCCTGCGCGCCGACGAGGGCGCCGAGTACGACCAGGTGATCGAGATCGACCTGAACACCCTGGAGCCCCACATCAACGGCCCCTTCACCCCCGACCTGGCGACCCCAATCTCCAAGTTCAGCGAGGCTGTCAAGGCCAACAACTGGCCTGAGGAGGTCAAAGTTGGCCTCATTGGCTCTTGCACCAACTCTTCGTACGAGGACATGACCCGTGCCGCACACATTGCCCGTGACGCCATGGCCCACGGCATTAAGGCCAAGTCCATCTTCACTGTCACCCCTGGTTCCGAGCAGATTCGCGCCACCATCGCCCGCGATGGCCAGCTCGAGACCTTCGAAGAGTTCGGCGGTATGGTCCTGGCCAACGCTTGCGGCCCCTGCATTGGCCAGTGGGACCGTACCGATGTCGCCAAGGGCACTCCCAACAGCATTGTCTCGTCGTACAACCGCAACTTTACCGGCCGCAACGATGGCAACCCCGCCACCCACGCCTTCGTCACCTCGCCCGATCTGGTCGTCGCCATGACCATTGCCGGCTCCCTGCACTTCAACCCCTTGACCGACAAGCTCAAGGACAAGGACGGCAACGAGTTCATGCTGACTCCCCCTGAGCAGACCGACGGTCTTCCCCTTCTCGGCTACGATCCTGGTGAGGACACGTACCAGGCCCCCCCTGCCGAGCGCGCACAGGTTCAGGTCCAGGTTTCGCCTACCTCTGATCGTCTCCAGGTTCTGTCGCCCTTCGATGCTTGGAACGGCAAGGACGCCACCGACCTGCCCATCCTGATCAAGTGCAAGGGCAAGACGACCACCGACCACATCTCCATGGCCGGCCCGTGGCTGAAGTACCGTGGCCACCTCGACAACATCTCCAACAACATGCTGATCGGTGCCACCAACGCCGAGAACGGCGAGGCCAACAAGGTCCGCAACCAGCTCACCGGCGAGTTTGGCGGCGTTCCCGACGTTGCCCGTGACTACAAGGCTAAGGGCATCCAGTGGGTTGTCATTGGTGACTGGAACTACGGTGAGGGCTCGTCTCGCGAGCACGCCGCTCTTGAGCCCCGCCATCTGGGTGGTCTGGCCATCATCACCCGTTCGTTCGCCCGTATCCACGAGACCAACCTGAAGAAGCAGGGCATGCTACCCCTGACCTTCGTGGACCCCGCCGACTACGATAAGATCAACCCCAGCGACCGCGTAAGTTCTGCACTTCGAGCACAGTTGTCTCATGACCTTGTCCACGAGCATTGTACTAACCCGGCATTCTAGGTCGATGTCCTGAGCACTGAGTTGGCTGTCGGCAAGCCCCTGACCCTGCGCGTCCACCCCAAGGACGGTGCCGCTTTTGACATCCCCCTGGCGCACACCTTCAACGCTAGCCAGATCGACTGGTTCAAGAACGGCAGCGCCCTGAACACCATGGCCAAGAACAACCAGCAATAAGCGTCTGAGACAGAAAGTTCGAATCAAACAAAAAAATACACACCCTAAAACAATCGGGCACTGAAGAAATGTAACGACACAGGGAGGAAATCGTTTCGTAGCTTGTTTTTTCTCTGTTAGTTTATTGTGTGTTTATTACATGCCTTGCTCTTGTGCGTCGTCTTCGGTTCACGATTTCCCGCATCAGGAGCGGCGGCACCACTTACTGGGGTCGATTTGGAGAGATGTCACATACCATACGTATATCACGCGCCACATTTATATATCCGTTTTAGTTATTTTTTGGAACCTTTTGAAGACTTTGTGGAGCTTTGTTTGACATCATTGCCTTGGTTATGGTGCAAATCAGGTTGGCCTATGTTGAATACTATAATCGAATTCTCATCGCCTCGTCCCAGATCATGAAAATACAAAACGCATGTACTCTGATTGGTTGGATCCGGGTAATAGCGGGTCTTCCATCTGAATAGAAAACAGTCGCGTTTTCGACCAGTTTGGAGGAGTGTGAACAGTTACACATTCTGTGGAGTTTGCTTTTATGCCTGAAATGACCCCATAGAGTGGTAATCTGGTTCAAGATAGAAATGCCGCCGTTCAACACACAACATAGAGTTCATCGTCAGGGCTTGGACCTAGCACACAAACGCGGTGCCAGGCACTCACACAACGCAAAGCATTTGCCCAATATAATTTCGCAAAGTATAACTCTCGTAAAAGAAATGCAAGCGCGAAGTGATATATTAACACGAAATTGTCGCCGGGTACGTCACGGGAGGGAACGATGTTGATGATAATACTCGACGGCCGATGGGTTCGGTGGGGAGAATCACGTGTTGGATCACATGCAAATGTGGCTTTTTCAGGTCCCGGTGTAAGGTTGGCGTGACATATATGACCAGTTACAGGAACCAAAATCCTTAAGGCCGCCGCTAGCACACGGAATGACAGGGTAATCTGACTGCTAGGCTCTGCTCACTCGTGGAAGGAGCGCACACGAGACATCTCTACATTGTCTCCTTGTTAACATTGGCGCCTCAACGACTTTTTCTGGACACGACACGACCCGAGAACACCCTGCTACCGACTGGTTCTCAGCAGCGACGACGAGACGACGGTCACCAACACTCTACATCTTCAACGCAGAGGTATACACGCAGCGAAGCGCCTCGTCTGGCGACATTCTAAGCCGTGTCGTGATTTTCAACCTCCTTTTCCCGCAACAACTTTTCGGCCCGGAACAACCGGCTCCTTTCGTCGAAAGGTGCACTCCGTGGCCGCGCATATCTCGACTCCCCCCCTTATACATCCTCCCCTCCTTTTCATAATGCCTTCCTCATCGCCCCAGCCGAGGCGTTCCGGTATCGCGGACCTCTGGACGCCACGCGGCTCGTCCTCTGCGTCGTCGACATCACCATCGGGCGCATTCAACCCTGCACGCTCTACGCGTTCGTACCTTGCGCGCCTGCCACTGTTCACACGCGCTGTCGCCGCCTTGATCGTGGCTCTGTATCTTCTGGACTGGCTGCCGATTTGGGACCTGCGCGCGTGGGGCGGCCTTGTCCCGTCGAAGCTGTCTTTTGCGACCCGTACGGCATCCCTGTCCCCGGTCTATGTCCCTTCGCTCCGTCTTTCGTCTGCCTTTCGACTAACTTTTACTAGTCTACCGCACGAATACCTTCCCCCTGATACACATGGGTTTGTTCCACGTGGTCGCAAACGTAGCGGCCCTGGTGCCACTGCTCGACCGGTTTGAGTGCGAGCATGGCACGATCACGACGCTGGCGCTGTTCTTTGGACGTACGTAGCAACTTTGAAAGGGGGGCGACAAGCGATTGAAATTTGCGAGAACGACCGAGCGCTAACATAGATGCAATATGACTCTAGCCTTCTCCACGCTTCCGGCATTGATCTACGTCTGCTTCGAACGCATCTTCCGCATGGACACGGCGGTGATGGGTGCCAGCGTCTGGGTATTCCTCCTCCTTGGCGTTGAGGCCATTCGCACATACCGCCAAAACCCGGCCCTGGTCATCGCCTCTGTGCCCGTCCCGACCTGGGCCACGCCGCTTTTCTTCGTCTTTGTCATTGCCGTCTTCATCCCCAACACGAGCTTGCCAGGCCACTTGGCCGGCCTCGGCGTTGGCTACCTGTGTGGTCTCGGCTACCTCAAGTTCTTGTCCCCGCCCGAGTCGGCCCTTCGCTGGATCGAGGCCCGTCTCAACCTCCTGGCACGCGTGCCGCACTATGTCAGCGTCGACCAGAAGACGTACGGCCGTTTTGGAGTACTGCCGAGCGTAAACGCCGGCACAACAGGCGCAGCCCCGGCTATCGGCCTCGTGGGCTCGACCCAGCGCCTGGGTCCTTAGTCGCGCTCGAACGCACTTTGAGCCTCGTCTTGTTCCCATCTGGAATTTTCGGCTCTGCTCTTCGTCGTCCTTTCTATATTTACCTATACGTGTCTCAGCGCGGAAATATCGGGGTTGTCTCATCATATTAACGGAGTCCTGTGCGGTTGTTTTGAATTATATGGTCATGTACCGCGTTCGGGTCATGCCTACTCATGTCGTTTCTCGTCCATTGTCGATTTTTCAGGGGCCTCTGGCCAGTTCACTGGCATGCATTTGGATAACTCTTGGAGCGGCGTTTTCGTTTTGTTGCTTTTCCATTTTCCATGGGCCCATTCTTCTTCTTGCCGCTTCTGCCTGTTGCACACATTCCCCCAGTACCTTTTTGTAAACAACTGTGCATATCGTGACGCTAGACCGCGTACCCGATAGGGCCAGTAATAATGATAATAGACGTGCGTTCGTGCCCACCCCCATTGTACGGATACTATGACATACGGCGTACTACAATACGACATTTCGACCGAATTCACTCTGATGATGTAACTGAAATGGCTACCCGAATTGGAAGGAGCGCTGTGGCGCTTTTATGCTTCTACCCGTTAATTGGGTGTGGGGCTTCGGCAGGCGCGAATAGGGGGGCGCCTGTTCCTGGACGCGCTAAAACTACAGCACAGCTGTTCGTGCCTCGCCAAGAGCTTCACTTTCTTGTCCGCCTTTCTCGCTCGCCATGCGCATGTCGTGGTCACTGTGCTGTCGCCCACGATGCCCAGCTTAATATGTGAGTTGGATGCCCTCCACACACGTGGGACAAACGTCGATGCATTCTGCTCCCCGCCACGTACTGACTCTTCAGCTTCCCTTGTCCGCTTCCGACGCGACCCGCGGCTTCTCAAGCTGCCTCCATACCTCTCGCTGCTCTGCATCCTGGTCGGTGTCGCCTCACTGCTTGTTCTGCCCCTTGACTCCTACTCTCGGCGGACATACATCTCCGAAAATGCCCTGCTGCCGGGCCAAGTGCACACCTACTTTGGCGGCAGCGACCAGCACGTTTTCCGCGCCTACAAACACGAGGTTAACGGGCTGCTCGGCCAGTCCAATACGGCCATCAACGACCACCTCGAGCCCATCCTTGCGTCCGCCGGCCTGAAAGTTGGCCGCCAGAACTACACCTACCGCTCTGTGGGCGAGACGTTTGCCGGCGAGAACCTCTATGCCATTCTCCAGGCCCCGCGCGGTGACGCCACGGAGGCCCTCGTCCTTGTCAGCCCCTGGCTCAGCATCCACGACGTGCCCAACCCGCACGGCGTGGCACTCGCGCTGGCCCTGGCGCGCTACTTCCGCCGCTGGTCGCTGTGGTCCAAGGACATTATCTTCTTGTTCCCGCCCGACAGTCTCACGGGACCGCAAGCCTGGGTCGACGCTTACCACGACGCCCACGATGGTCGCTATGTCAGCCCTCTGCCCCGCAAGTCGGGCGCGCTGCAGGGCGCCGTGGCGCTCGACTACACCAAGGCCGACCCTGCCGATAACGACGGCAACGGCAGCAGCCGCTTCACGGCCGTGCACATTGTCTACGACGGCGTCAACGGCCAGCTGCCGAACCTGGACCTGATCAACTCGGTTGTCAACATTGCCGGCGGCCAGATGGGCACCGGCGTGTCGCTGCAGGAGATGTGGCGCCACGATGACGGCTACGCGGACCGCCTGCGCACGATGCTGCGTGGCATGCTGCGCCAGGGCCTGGGCGCTGCCACGGGTGCACACAGCGCGTTCATGGCGTACCACGTGGACGCCATCACGCTCCAGCCGTACACGGCGACGGCGGTGACGCCCGAGGGCAACGTGGTCATTTCCGGCTGGCAGCACGACGAGATGGCCATGGGCCGTATCCTCGAGGGCACGTTCCGCAGTCTCAACAACCTGCTGGAGCATCTGCACCAGAGCTTCTTCTTTTACCTGCTGATGGGCCGCGAGCGCTTTGTAAGCATTGGCACCTACCTGCCGAGTGCTATGCTGCTGGCTGCCAACTTTACGATCATGGCCATTGCTCTTTGGGTGCGCAGTGGACAGGCCGTGTCGAAACAGGGGACCGCCGCAGGCACCCAAGAGAAGAAGTCCAAGGCTACGTCCGAGAAGGCTGCCGTGTCGACGTCGAGCGGCAACGGCATCGCCGAGGAGCGTGATCTGTTCCTCCCCCTGGCTGTTGTCACACTCTGCCAGGCACTCGGCATGGCCCCTCTCTATCTATTTAACCATGTCTCCGCTTGGGTGAGTTGAGTTGACAAGACGTGTTTTTTTTGTCTTTGGTTTTATTATATAGTGCTGCGTAATCGTTGCTAACAAGGTCACAGCTTCTTACGCCTATATTTATTGGCTTTTCTGTGACCAACGCTGTCCTTCCTCACGTCATCTCCGGCGTTCTGACCAGCTACTACCGCGCCACGGCCCAGCAGTACGACCTTATCAAGTCGTTTTCCCTACTGCTGCTTGGCATGTTCTTGTCGTCGCTTGCCACCCTCAATTTTTCGCTCGCCTTCCTGGTTGGCCTGCTGGCAAGCCCTCTGACCTTTATGCGGCCGGCGCCCAACAGCGCTGTTATGCGCTGGCTCGCGACCGCACTGCTCAACATCGTGTCCCCGCTCGGCGTCCTGGTTGCTTGCTGCGCGGTGTGGAAGCTGGACGTCGCCGAGGCGCTCCGCCTGGCGGCTTTTGGGTGGGACGTCTGGGGCATGTACACGGCCGTGGTGTTGTGGTGCGTGTGGTGGCCGGCGTGGCTGGCTGGGTCGGTGCTTGTGCTGGGACGGCCAGCTGCAGATTCGGCGAGCTCCTAATTGGCGGAGAACATAATGATAGATCCCATGTATGGTGATCTGTCGGCGTACGTACGATGCACGGCACTAGCTTTCTAGCGAGAGAAGGCTATCGTCCAAGAACGATCTGTGATAAGGTGGTTGGCGCATAACTGTATCCTCCGTGTCATGATTGATGGGAAAAGGAAGTAAGGCGTTTTTGTCATATAGAGAAACTGGACTACATGTTGTACGTCTTGACACGTAACACTTTTATTTGCTTGGGTAGCGTTCGCGAATGTTTTGTCGGTTTTATAAATAAACTATTGTATCTTTCAAATAATTACTTCGAATATTTTTCAGGAGAACTACGTTGGAAATTTCGTACTGTAAAATAAGTAAAGCTGAGATAAAATTATATACTTGGATATACATATATGTGAGCTCGTTTTCATCGCATATACTCGCAATATACATACAGTGCCCGCTTCTGCAAATGTTTGAATTTTTTTGTCTTTTGGTTTGGCTACTTTACATGAATGTGGATGTGTTGCAGAAAAAGGCCATTAAAACGCCCTTGACCGACCCTGTCCACCGTAATCTCGTTTCCACATACTCGCTCTATTCTATGCTCGATTACACCAATTGCCATGACCTCATGCCGCCCAGACGTCCTGGCCCACCTGCTCAATCCAATTTCCGAGCTGGTTGACGCTGGTACCCCATTCTCCTAACCGCTGCCGCATGTTGTCGATCTGCTTCATATCCAGCACCTTAGGCTGCACCCAGTTGATGTGCGCCACCTCGTCGACCTGGTCAATGGTGCCGCGCAGCAGGCCCAAGCTCAGCGCCTTCATTACCAGGTGCTCAATCTCATCGGGCTGCACGTTGGTCTCCTGCGCAATGGTGGCGAATGTCATGGAGCGCTGGTGCGGCGGGCGGCGGAAGACGGCCTCGGTCAGCGCGGCCAGGTAAATCTTCTGGCGCAGCTGTCCGCTGTGCTTGTTCAGCAGGGAGTTGCCGGCAATGTGCTCGGACAGGCGCTCGTAGGCGCGCAGGTCGCCGCGGTTGTAAGCAAAAAGCAGCTCGCGCAGCCAAGCGTCGTCCTCGTCCTCGGTGGTCAGGGCGTCGAGAATGGGGTGCAGCAGCAGCTCGCCAAAGTTGTAGATGCTGGAGGACACGAGGGCAGCCAAGCTCAGCTTGTAGGCGCGGTCGTGGCGGTCGTCGGCGTCGAGCGAGGCCACGTCGACGCAGGCCAGGTAGAGCAGGGCGTTGCGGTAGTAGAGGGCAAAGTCGAGCTTGGCCTGGTAGTAGAGTGAGCTGGTGTCGTAGAAGGCGGCGTGCACAATATTCTCGACGGCGTCAAACGTGTCCAGCACGCGCTCGGCCTTGTCGAGGTCGCTGCGGGCGCCGTCAAAGTCGCGCAGCGACAGCTTGACCCGCGCCACGGCAATGGTGGCAAACACAAAGGCGTCCTGCGAGTCCTCGTGGTCGACACGCTTGGTGACGGACTCGAGGAAGGCCAACCGCTCCTTGTCGTCCTTACATGACTCGGCGGCCTTCAATGCGAGGTCGACAAACTTGAGCTGGTTGATCTTGTCGGCGAACTTGAGCACAAACACCTTGAAAAAGGGCAGCCGCAGGTCTTCGCTCTGCTCGTCGTTGAACACCACCAGCAACGCATCGGTCAGCTGGTGCCACAGCTTACGCTCCCACAGGTTTTCGATCTCGAGGATGGCGCCCTGCAGCTCGGCCGGCGCCGCATCGCGCTGCTCGTCGAGGAAGTCGGTCAACGCCTCGGCGCTCATGGTGGCAGCTGTGTGCTGTTTGTGATGATGGTACCGAAGAGGATAAGGAAAAAGTGAAACCCAATTGGTTGTCGTAAGGGTCGCCGTGTCGGGAGGTCGTGCGGTATCGTCAACAAGTCGATGCTTCTATGACTTCGTTGCTGTTTTTGGTGGTGGTTGGTTGTATTGATGCTGTGGTGTTTGGAGACATTCAAAGTGGTCACCAGTTGGCTGGAGCTTCCTTCCCAGCTCGCCCTCCGCCACTCCCCTCCGAAAGACGCGGCTCGAATGCAGCCTGCTGGAGTCGTCTCCAATTGCACCTGCCAGGCTGGGCGCCAAAGCCCGCAAAATCAGTTTCTCCGGGGCTACTCCAATCTACCATTCCAGGGGATTCACCCCGCTAACAGAATTGCGGCGACAGCGCGTGAATCGTCACGTGTGG